CCGGATGACGGCAACGATGACAACAACCTTCCCACCGGTCCCCCGGATGATGATGACAACAACCTTCCCACCGGTCCCCCCGATGACAACGATGACTTTCCCACGGGCGAGCCGGACGACAACAACGACGGGGATGACAACAACGACTGGGACGACAACAACAACTGGGATGACAACAACAACTGGGATGACAATAACAACTGGGATGACCAGGACGGCGGTGACGACTGGAACTGGAACGGCGGTGACGACTTTTGGGGTCACTAAGCAGCTTTATGACGGTGTGATGTATTCAATGTACTACTCTTTGTGTGATGCAATACTTCTTTTGACAAGGGTCCACGTCGTGTGGACTTGGTGGTACAAATCCTACCTTGAACGTGACGCTACCCTTTCATAGAATGCTCTACAGTTGTGCTTGGCTTCGTAGGTTAGGAGGTGGTACATTAGGCGAAGGTGATTAAATAAGACGCTATTGATACAACTCAAGTAGACGGCGTCGCGAGCCAGGCTTCAACGACGTAGGCGACAAGGAGCCGCGACGTGACACTAACAGCGGTTGCAATGCGATCCAGGATCACATCCAGTGCAATGATCCAGTGCATCGCGGCAGGCACGCCGTTCGTACTTCCATCGGGCAAGAGGCACTGCCAAAGAAACAAAAGAACGACGAGTCCGCTGTGCGGCACGGGCGTGCAGAGCGAACCGCCGAGGCCCCCGAGGAGGACGACCAGGAGCGCGCTGCGGTCGACAGTACTCGATTCCGGCTCGTTGGTGAGCAGAAAGAAGAGGCTCACGACCAGATAGAGCACCGCGCCGTCGAGGTGCACGGCGGTGCCCGCTGGCAGCACGAGCCGAGCGACGGGACGGGACACGCGCAAGGTCTTGTCGACGTACTCGACGGCAAGAGGGAGGGCGGCGAGCGACGAGGCCGAGAAGAGACCGAACGCAATTGGGACGCCGAGGCGCAGGAGAAACGTTGGTATCGGGTTGGAGCGCGTCACTAACGCGGCCACAGCAATCAGCAGCGTCACGTGAAGAGCTGCGGCGACGACGAGGGCGGCGACGAGACTGGTCAACGCGGCGCCTTCGTGCGCCAGCGTCTCAAAGATGCTCGAGTGCTTGATATGCCGAGGCAAGAGGAACGCCGGTGCGTGGTCGAACGCAACGGCGTCGGTGGGGTTGAGCGCTTTCCACGGCGCCGGCGTCGGGTCGTCGGGCACGACAAGCGCGGCGCCGACAAGAAAGACAAGTGCCAGCGGTACACAGCGCGTGACCCAGTGCACCATAGTGACGCTGGCGCTGTTGAGTTCGCGGACGAGGCCCCACACGAGCTTGGACCGGGGCACGTGGGCGAGTGCGCCGCCGAGGAAGAGCGCGCAGATGATCAAGCTCACGTTCGTACCTTCGTCAAAGATGTCGAGGAGCTTCTTGGGCATGACAGCGTCAAGCATGAGCTCCAGCATCGACACGTCCGGCTCCGACGCCATCGCCATTCGCGACTGCAGTTTCTTGTCACGAAGCCCAAAGTACGTCGTGTCATCCTCTGGATGCATCGTGGTCTCGCAGCGGAGGACGCCGTCCACCAATCGAAGCATGGCCGCAGCATCGCTCGGACAAACGAGTTGGACGACGCCGTCGACGTCCGGAAGAAGGGCCGTTGCGGGATGGCGCAGCGTCCAAAAGCACGATGGAAGAAGGTACGTCGCCGTCACATAGCCCGAGAGCGCAGCAAGACCGTTCGTCGTCACAAAGCAGACGATCGCGAGGAGCGTGAGGCGCGTGCCGACGCCGCCAGCGACAACGTCGGCAAAGCCCACAATGACGTTGAGAAAGATCGTCGGGATGAGCAGACACGTGAGCGCCCGAAGAAAGAGTGCGCCGGGGAGGTGCAGCCACTGGACGACCGCGACGCGCGAGGCAATGGCGTCCGACTGGCGGCGAAACACGGCTTCGTACACGTCGCGATTCGGTGCGAGATGCAAGACGTCGGTGTAGAGGTCGTCGAGTGACGTCGCGACACTGCAGCCGTACGCGATCGCGATGCCGAGCGCGGTCGCCAGGAGGAGACCAGAGAGGCCAAAGTAAACGCGCTTGTACCATGTCGTCTGCGTCGACGGCGACCGCCAGATCGACGCGTAGTAGGCGTCATCAATCTCCTCGAGCAAGACGATGGACGCAGTGGGTGACGCCATGCTGAATCTCGAGTGGTTGCTCACAGCCAGGGTCAGTTAGTTTAGTTGACCTTTGGTTGTAGTAAGCACTTGGTGTGCTTGACGAAGCAGCGCGATGGACGACGGCCACACGTTGCGGACCATGACATGGTCCTGACCGTCGTCGCGTGTCAATATAATTTTATTCAAGGAATAAATGTGCGATACAACATTATAGTTCCGTAGCATGTTTTGTTTTATTAAAAAGACGCCGGCGAGCCCATCTGATTACACAATCACTTGGCCGTGAGAGACGTGGTCGGCGGACACCTCACGCAGGACGGGCACCAAGTGAGGGAGGGAATGGTGCGCCTCGAAGGCTAGCTGCCAAGTGTAGTAGCAGCAAGGAACCGTAAACGGTGATGGACCCATAGAAGTGAGCGAGGGTAGGGAGACGAAAGCTGGGAGATTTCCTCGACAAGTCGATGGGTGGCCTTAAAGCGTTAAAGCGTGGGCGTTGAAGGGTTAACGCTAGCTCCGAATCTCGTTCGGTATTCTAGGACTCAACTCAGGACTAGATGATGATGATTCGAGGACAGGCCAAACCTCTGATATCCCAGATTCTCGAAAGATTTTGCATCCAAACCTTGCACCAATGTGTCAGTTACACGGAAATTTGACGATTCGATGGTGAGAATATGACAATTGATTCCATACAACGAATGTTAGCACAACTATTGACGCGCTGTCCTGCGTTGCTTTGCTACATGACGAAGACCAACGAATGTTCCTTGCCGATCGCTTGGCATCCGCCGTCTCCAGGTTTTCCCGTACTATACCTTTAAAACATATATCTGGCTATGTTTTCAGAGAATATCCCGTCTTGATTTATCTCAAAACGTGCAACTCCTTTAAAACAACAAATAAAGATTGTTTCAAGGGAGTAGTACGAAATCGGCAATGTGGGAACTGCCAGCGCCAGATCTTGTGCATCATGAAGCTGCTCAAGGCGCTGCACGCGAACCGCGGGGTCCTCTCCGCGCCGTCCCTCTCGGCGCCTTATCTGCAAGAGACGTTGCCCGTGGCCACGCTGCTGCGCCAGGCCATGGCGCTCTCGCAGCGCCTGCCGCCGCCAACGTCGCCGCGCCCGATCGCGTTCGTCGCCCACCGCGTGTGTCGCATCGTCGCCCTACGCGAGGAGGGCTCATGGCGTCGTAGGGCCTCGACTACGTCCGCGCGCAGTGGGCCATCTGGCTCGCCAACCACATTGCCGTCCCGCTCGCGACGCACAGCGCGCCGCCCGAGCTCCACCACATCCTCCAGTGCGTCCTCGCTCTCTCTGTATTCTTCTCGTCGTCATCGTCGTTGTAGAGATTCGGGCGCGTCGCATGTGATCGGCCACCCGCTCATGGACACGGCGTCGCTGCCGGTGCCAACGATCGCGTATGCGACGACGCACGAGGCCGCCGAAGACGACCTCCTCGAGCGCCTCGACGCGGCCGCCGCCGACGACGCCATGCTGCTCTACACGAGCGGCACCACGGGCGCGCCCAAAGGCGTCTTGGCCACGCACGATAGCCTCTTTGCGCAAGTCCAGGACGTCATTCGCGCGTGGGAGATGAGCGACATCGACCGCGTGCTGCACTTTTTACCGCTGCACCACACGCATGGCATTGTCAACAACCTCCTCGCGCCGCTCGCTGCCGGCGCGCACGTCGACGGCCTCGCCAAAGCGTCGCCCAACGACATCTGGCACCGGTACACCATCACCGTCCTATCTTGTGTTTACAATGGACAAAACTAGTCTCTCGGACCCCGCGACAGCGCCGAGCGTGCTCATGGCCGTGCCGAGCATCTACATGTTGCTTCTCGAGACGCTCGATGCGATGGACGCGAGCTCTCGAGCCAAGGCCCTCGCCGGTGTGCGTCAACTGCGTCTCGCCATTTCGGGTAAAATCCACTGCGCAAAGTATCAGAACTGAGTGGCGTCATGAATAGGGAGCATGGCCTGCCCGGTCTCGATCCTCGAGCGCTGGAAGACCATCTCGGACGGCCACATGCTACTGGAGCGCTACGGAATGACCGAGTGCGGCATGGCGCTCGGAAATCCGCTCCACGGCGACCGCCACATCGGCTATGTCGGGCAGCCATTCCCAAGCATCCGCGCGCGGCTGGCGCCCGAGGTACGCAGCTACACCACTGTATCACGTGCTATGCCGACTGGAATACTGTAGACGAGCGAGCTCCAAGTGCAGGGCCCGACGCTCTTCAAGGTAGCCTTGACGTCCAAAAGCGGCGGTGGAGGATCCTCACCATGGCGACCAGGAGTACTGGAAGCGACCGGTCGAGACGAAGAAGGAGTGGACGGACGACGGCTGGTTCAAGACGGGAGATATCGCCGAGTACAACGCGTCGATTGAGAGCTACCGCATCGTCGGGCGTGCGAGCGTCGACATCATCAAGGTACAAGGATGCATTGTGCGGGATCGAAGCGTCGACCAGCTGCAATGCTGCTGTAGAGCGCAGGGTACAAGATTTCGGCGCTCGATGTCGAGCAAGCGGTGATGGAGCACCCGCAGATCATGGAGTGTGCTGTGTACGGTGTCGCAGACGATACGTGGGGCCAGATTGTGACGCTCGTGGCGCGCCCGTCTGACGCTATTTCAGGTGCATTGGCTCGCGTTGCAGGTAGCGAGGGACCTATGTGGGTACATGGATGTAGACGTGGCCAAGTTGTCGCCGCCCCTCGACGCCTTTCTCTCGGCACGCCTCGCCAGCTACAAGCGACCCCGCATCGTGCACCTCGTGCCGGCCATTCCGAAAAATGCCATGGGCAAAATCAACAAGAAGGAGCTGCCCGCGCTCTTTGATAAGGCGTAGCGACAAGGGATACATAGTTCTATACTAGTCGACTAGGCGTCAAACTCGTCCAAGCTATAACTCGACTCGGCGTGCAGCAGTGTCGCGTCCTACCAACCAGGTGTGGTGAGATGTGGAAGAGAGAGAGAGTGGCGGATACTACCGGTGCGAGTAGCTCGGCAGGATCGTCAAAGTCGTTGTCATACGACCGGTCGGACGGCAGCGGCGAGGCGTCCAATGACATAACGGACGAGACGCTCCCGCGCTTGGCGAGTGACGGCCGGCGGTGGTCGCCCGGCGGGGTGTACAAACTATCAAACGTGTCGTTCGTGACGGCATTGGACGCCAGCGGCAGACTCGGCATCGGCTCCACCGGCGCACCGTCGTCGCTATACCGGGCTGTGGTTTGAGAGTACTCATCGAAAGGGTTGTCCTGTGTTGGTAGCTTGTCACTGGAAGCGACCGGGTCGACGGTGCGTGGAGACATTGGTGCTGCGTCGGCGCGAGCACTGCCGTCGTCACTGTACCGAGGCGTGTTGTCGTCGCCGGCAGCACGCTCCAGCGGAAGTGGAGCAACTGCTTTTGCCTCGGGCGCCGTCATGGACGTCGACTCGATCGTTGCCAAGGTCGCAATTGTCGACTCTGGGTCCAAGTCACTGTAGCGGCTCGTGTCGGTGTCGTTGACTGTCTCGTCCACCTCGGTGTCCCCCATGGGTGTAAACATAGGTGGTGGGACGTTGGCGCCCGTTGACGGGGCTGCCAACGCGCTAGTAGCTACCGGTGGCGATGCTTCGTCGTCGCCGTACAACTCTGTGTCATCGTCGTACTCCGTTGCGTCGGCGTCGGTCGGCGGCGCACCCGATGGCACCGACAACGGATCGTTGCTACCGATAGTCGTTTTGTCCAGCGCAGTGACGGACGCTTCGGCGGGGGTCGTGTCAGCACTGACACTGCTGTATCGACCGGTGTCCAGATCGTTTTCGTAAGGGTCGTCTTCGTACACCTCGTCACCATCAACGTTGGCAGCCACCTTGAGCGCCGCTGATGGGGACGTGATATCGACAGCTTCCGTGTCCGTCGTATCTCCAGAGGTCGCTGGCTCCACGGGTTGTGGTGTCGTTGTAGTATCAGGTCCTCGGCGGTCCTCCGGCGGTGCTACCCAATACCCTTCGTCCCGGGCAATGTCGGTCGAGTACTCGTCCTCGTCGTACGTGCCGTGTGCCTCTATCGTCGACGGGGTGGAAGCCGATGCTTGCAGTGGTGCATCGACGCCTGATGCCAAGTCGCTTGCAACTGCAACGATACCATCGGCCCTGGTGTCGCCGGTGTTCGTCGGCGGAGAAGCGCGTGGCGACGCCACCACGCTCTCTGCTGCGGAAGGCGACTCGGAGCGAGGACTCGCGCTGCTGTAACGTCCGGTGTCCTTGTCGTCGTCCAAGTCGGTCGTATCTGGAACGATCGCATTCACTGGTCGTGCTATCGCTGCTACTGCAACAGCGTCTTGTGTTGACACGGTGTCGAGCTTGGCCGATGGATCACCGCTTGCTGACGGCTCGTCGTCATAGCCATAGGACACGTCGTCGCGTGCATCGTTGCCCGCATCGACGTCAGCCACGGCCGCTGTCATTAGAGGTTCGTCCAGCGCCGGCGGTTCACTCGTCGACGTTGGCTCTTGGATCGGTGCAGAATCGGCGTTGCTCAGCAACAATACGTCCGACGACGCCACAACGTCGGCAAGTTGGTTGATGGCTTCGTCCTCTCCCTCGACCGGTGGGGTGGAGGTGGATGGCGCGCCGGGCTCGCTAATCGCTACGGCCTTGCCACTGCCGTCGTTTGTTAAAGTATCTGGATTGAACTCGCCGTCGTCACTATACCGCGCCGAGAGTCCTTGATTGTCGCGAGCCGTCGGCAGCGCGTCTTGTGCTGCATTCGCGTGTGACGTTCCGTCGTTACCGAGCGTTGGTTCGCTGGTCAGCGGCATCGGCGGCCCGGCGTCCAGAGCACTGTCGTTCGCTCGAGGTGTCGACGCGTCGTCGCTGTACCGCGCTGTGCTACTGCGAGATGCACCGACAGCGTTCTCCGAAGGAGCCTCGTCGTCATCTTTGTCACGGTAGCTGTCTTGGATCGCATCCGTGTCGGTGGTGCCCGAATCGACGGCGTCTTTGGTTGCCGTCACCGACCGTGGTGATGTCGGCGCACTCTGAAGAAGTGCGTCACGATCCGTCATCGGTGACGCCGTAGCGTCCGACGGCGATTTGGTGTCGACCGTAGTAGATACTTCGTCATTTGTGGAGCGCGCCGAATTGTCAAACGCTTCTTCGTACATGTCGTCGTCTCCGTTGTCACTGCCACGGGCGCTGGGAACAGCAACTTCTGTGGTTGCCATGTGCTCGGTCGCGTCGGTTTTGTCGGTCCGTGTACCCTCATCGACCTCATGCGAGCTGTCGAGATTGTCCATGAACACACATGGAATGGTAACTGCAGGCGCGTTGCTCTCGTCGGATGTTGCGTCGGCAGCCAGCATCGACTCTGTTGGATCGTCGTCACGCATTGGTGGCTCACGCCCCGCAACATCTGTCGACAGCTCGGTAGGCACAGCAGCCCCGCCGTTTTCACCGTGGATTGGTCGACGGCATTTGACTCTTGCGTGGCTTCGACGATAGCAGCGTCCGCAGCCACGTCCATTGGGGGTGGAGTGCACTCCAATGCACCTTCACTACCGTCGTTTGTCGGTGCAGAGTCGGCCGCCTCCAACGACATTGATAGCTCGCCACATGACACCGCCGAGGCATCAACGCCACCCACCACCGGCTCGCGGTTGCTGGTATCGACGGCGATCTCGACCGGTGGCATTGACGCGTCGCCCGCACGATCGACAGTGTCGTCTACGTGTAGTGTCGCATCGTCGTCGTGCGTAAAGTCCGGAAGGCGGGGCGTGAGCTCAAAGTCGGGGCGTTCGTGGGCAACCCCCGCCGGTTGCAGCCGAGCAGTCGTCGTCGCTTCCGTCGCCATTGGTGCGTCGTCGCATTCGATGACGAGCTCTTCGCCGCGGGCGCTCGCTTTTTTGCATGGACTCGGCACATGCAGCGGCAGTGTCACATCGTCGTCCCCGTCGCTAACGTCGCGCGGCATATCAAAGTTCAAGGCCAACGGCGGCACAACACTGGCGGCGTCGATCTCGCCCAGAGTTGCCTCCGAAGACGCCGGGTCGAGGTGCATCCGATCGGTCGTTGGCAACGGCGACTCAAACCCGTCACCGTCGTACTCTGCCGGTGTCGACGCTCGAGCATACGTCAAAAGAGTGCGACTGGGTGTCTCGTCGGGTGCGACGGCAGCCATTTGTGTGCGATCGACACCGGCAGCCGACGACGGTGGGGAGTTTAAGTCATCACTGACGTACTCGTCGACCGGTGCATTCTCAGCGTCGATGGGCGCCCCCAATGAACGACCCACGTGTTCAATGACGCCGTCGTGGGACGTCGAGAGTGATCCAAGCGCGTCGGCAGCCTTTGGCGACGCAATCGCCGAATCGACCATCGGCAGGTATTCCTGGTGTTCCCGCGACGGCGGCGGTGAGCCAAAGTCGTCATCGGCATACTCGCCGCCGTTGTTTTCGTCGTCTTCTTGGATGGCCCGCATCACTTCGACTCGGCGCTCGGCCACCCGCTACGAGAGGTGAGTCATTTTTCACCAGCGACACCAACCTTTCTTGCTGCCCGTTGGCGAACGAGACATTGGATGTGCAGCGCTGCACTGTTCTTCTCCAAAAGGTACTGGCTTGACGTTAATCTCTGGTTCTGCGTCGCTTGTCGGCGCAACGCTACTGCCTACATACACCGCCATCATGTCAAATCCATAGATCGAGTAGATGCAGACTCTACTTTTTTGGCAGCGCGTTGCCGGGCGATACTCTGGATACGCACGGCAGCTCGGTCCTTGTCCGAGGCGCCAAACGAGAGCGACCGCGCGCGCAGTGGAGGGCGCATCGCCAGCCGCTTGGCCTCCGCCGCCTACACCTCACAATTACGTCTAGCCGACACGAGTGTGGTTCAATTTGGACTTTGATCGCAGCGCGCCGCCGGGCAAGGCACTGAATCCGCACCGCAGCGGCGTCCTTGCCGAGCGGTTCGGCGGGTGATTGGCTCTCGCGTCGGCGCCGCGCCACCGTCTACGCAAAAACGGCACCTTGTCAGCCGTGCGTACGAGGGTGCTGCACTGCCTTTTTGGCCGCGTGCTGGCGAGCTAGACACTGGATACGGAGAGCTGCTACGTCCTTGTCGTGCTGCACCGAGAGCGACGCTTGCAGCGCCCGCTGCTGCCGCCGCCGGTCGGCGACACGCTATGAATATAAGTCTTAAAGATGTTGGATGCGACAAAGGAGTACGGTTTTGGCCGCTCGCTGCCGTGCAAGGCATTGGATGCGCAATGCGGCAAGTGCAGTGTCGTATCGGTTGAACGTGCGTCGCGCCCGCTCTTGCCGCTTGGCCGCAACGCGCTACGTCGCCTGTTCAGTTGCACGCAAAGAAACGTGCCACCAACGTACGCGCCGCGCGGCCCGCTGCCGGGCGACGCACTGGATGCGAAGCGCCGCTGCGTCGCTGTCCAGCGACGGTGGCGCCGTGCATCGTCGAAGCTCGTTGCGCTTGGCCGTGACGCGCTACCGTCACGCCACGCTCTCATGCCGCTCAACGCGTAGCAAGCTACTGTACCTTTTTCGCAAGGCGCTGGCGGGCGAGGCACTGGATGCGAAGGGCGGCCGTCTCGTGGTCGACCAACAGGACGGGCGACGACACGCTCGTGAGCAGCTCGTGACGCCTCGCTGTCACCCGCTACGCACCAAAACGTCCATTCAACACGTCACATGGGATGAAGGATGGTTTGCCTTTCTTGCGAGGCGCTGGCGGGCCAAGCACTGGATGCGAAGGGCGGCGTCGTCAGCGCTAAACAAGTCGAGCGGATCAGGCGGCACCGACAGGCGTTGTGGTCGCGCGTCGTGGTCGACCGAGGAGGCTGCGCGCGCCACGTGGTCCAGATGCGCATGGGCATGACGGTCCTCGATGCTCTTCTACAGCGTAGACTCATGGTTCACATTTCAAAATCCCAAAATCTCAAAATCTCAAAAATCTCAAAAATCGCAACAGATTCGCACCGGTGCTTTGCGCTGGATGGTTTCAAACGCCGGCGTCATGTCGCCCGCACCGTCGGCTCGCTGGTCGACAACCGGCATCGCGACTGCAGGTTTTTTCTCCGTTCGTTTTTTGGCCATTTTCTGACGTGAGAGCCGTTGCCGTGACGCGCATTGAATCCTAATTCAAAGGTTTCTACCATGCTATGCAGCGCCAACGCACCGCAAAATGGCGGCGTCCTTGGCATTGACGAGCGCGTCGTTTCGGGCTGCACCGTCGGCGGTTTCCATCTACTTGCCTGCTATGGACATGTCATGCTGACATGCGTGTGGTACCTGCAGCACATGGTCCTCGTAGTCTCGCAGCTGGTCCGCGCTCATAAAGAGCGTCGGGTTCTTGCGCTTCTCTTGCTTGTGCCGGCGCAGTCGCTCGGCTTTTTCCCGCGACAGCTTTTGACGTGTGGCGCACTGGATCTTGAGAATGGCGTCGATATCGACCGGGGGCGGCTACGCATGCCACGTCAGCACATATAGTGACAATATTGTACATAGATGGATACCGCTTTGGACTGCGCAACACGTGGGACGAGGGACACGGGTGCCTAAGCGGGTCGTGAAACGTGGGTGTGATTGGGCGCTTCGTGACCTTGGTTGCCCGGGGGTGCTCGACAGCTGTGGCAATGGGACCTGCATAATTCGCTTGCTCATGGCTTCGAGAGCACACGACTACCTCGATGGACCGAGACGTGTCGAGAGCGAGGAGCAAGTCCTCGTCGTCGTGCTGGTTGATGGCGCTGAGGCGACGCGAAGGCGCAACGTCGCCCGCCGGGTTCATCACGTGGTCGAGCCGGACCAAGATGGATTCGCAGAGCGGGACCCACGCGCGTTCTAGCATGTCATTATCACTCTACGAGGTATAAGAATACCAAGGCCGCACCGTAGACAAAAGCGAGCACGTGCGGTCCGAACAGCGACATGATTTCGTCTTCCGTGACCACGGCCTGGGTCTCAACGGCCGATTGGGGCTCAAAGAGCTTGAGCTGCAGCACGCACGTCGGCTCGATCTGCGCCACGTAGAACGACACAAAGTAGGTCAATGCATGGTAGCTCCACGAGCCGCTAAAAACGACCGTGTCGGGCGACGGGTCTGCGCCGTCCATGCGGCAGTCGTCGTCTACGTACCACACGACATTCTTTCCACAACACATTCCTACACAAAAATACCTTGCAGCACAAACACGTCGGCGGGCCGCGACCCCGGGATGCGTTCGATCGTCTGGTCGCGCGCCTGCGGGTTGGTGTCGTCCATTTCCAGGTACATGAGGAGGTCCGAAGTGTCGGCGCTGGTTTCTGCGCCGGGTTCCAGTAGCTGGGACGTCGATGTGGCGCCCGGGTGGCCCTGCAAGCTCACCTACAGCTTCCTCGTTAGCTACGTCAAGCGAGAGAAAAAGGCGTACGGTTTCAAGCACCCAGGCGCAGAGGACGGCCGCGGGCGTCGAGATGGGCACCAAGTACGCGGGTCGGAACTTGTCGTTGGTCAGAAATGGACTCAGCGCTTTCATTTTGAACGCGGCGATTGGAGGACCTTCGAGAAAGGTGTGGAGGGTTCGAAGCAGCTGCTTGCCATTCGCAAGCAGAGTCCGGGCCGTGGACCAGCTCACGTCTTTGGGCACGAGGTCGCCGGGTGTGAGTAGAATCATAACGGTCGCCTACGACATCAAAACACGATAGTAGAAATAGGAACGAGGAAGAAGGATCGTGTGCATCACGACATACGACGATGAGCGCAACCACTTGTGGTGGAGCTTCGTCGCGGCTGAGCGCCTCCAGTTCGAGGTGTGTCACTGAGAGGTTCTGCAGCGTAAAGACAACTGGGTTGGTTTTCTTGGTCGGTTTCTTGAGCCGCTTCGTGGGCTTGGTCGCCTGTTGCTAGTCCACATTGCACTTTACCGCGACAAAATATGTGGATACCCCTGGCCGAGGCGGTTTTTTCTGGTGCGGGAACGACTCGGCCGAGACGCGCGGCTTGACCTTGGCGTACTTGGGATTGGTATACGGCGCGGTGACTAGCATACAAGGCTATGGAAGGCGCAATCCAGATGGATCCTCGCACCGTGGATGACGGTACTGGGTTTCTTCGCTGGCGGGCCGTCATGAACCGTGTGCATGAGGTCTTTCAAGGTCTTTGGCGGCGACATGGGCAGCGACGGCAAATGGCCCTTGCGCTTCATGAGCGGCGACGAGTCCATCACATGCACCTAGTTGGTTTTATATGCCATGGAGAACTATCGTTTTAAAACCCTACCCCGAGGGACGACTCCATCGGCATCGAGAGCAGCTTGAGTTGCATCTCGGCGCGCTGTTGCCATTGAAGCACCTCGAGCGTACTCATGCCACTGGGCGGTGCGGTCTCGGTGGTTTCGGGGACACTGGCGTCGGGAAGCACCTCGGGGGGGAATTCATTTAGATGAAGACAGCACCAGACCAAGAACGCGTCGGCCTGCGTGACAATGTCGCCGGCCGATGCCTAGGCGTATGCGTACACCATCAGAAAAAGAGGCGACAGTCGCGTGTACCTCGTTGGGGATGGTCGTGACGAACGGCGGGGACGTCATGCAATGCACGGGCTCGAGGTCGCGGCCGGGAATCGAAGTCGGAAGCATGAACGGGTTGCGAACCATGGACTCGGGCGCGACACCAAGCACGTCGGCGAGCCGGGGAATCTCGGCAAGGAAGTTCAGGTCGTCCAGCATACGGTGCAAGTAGCTCTTCCCGCTAAAAATGTACGTTTGCGGCGACGGGAGTTGCTAGCAACAACATCATCGTCCGTTCGACCCCATACAATACCTACCGACTGCCAGTCGTAGAGGGCTTGTACGACGGCGACCGACGCGTCGCGCGTCTGCAGCAGAATCGAGAGCAGCGAGTCGGCGTTTTGGACCTTGAGCGACGTCACATCTCCAATCGAGATGCGCTGGGCCACGCCCTTGAGACGACTCACGAGGCCTTCACGGATCAGAATGCTCTTCATGACGAGAATTTCGTGCTTTGGGTCCCTGCGCCGACAGGTCAAGACACTGAATGTGCAGAAAGGACATGTAGTACGTTGTCGGGACGCTCGACGGCTGCTGGCACCCAAAGGCCTCTTGGAGGTGGGCAATGTTGTGCTGGACGTCGGTCGCATGCACGTGCTTGTGTCCATGCTCGAGCACTTGCTTTGTTTCGTGGGCTTCTCGAATCTTGCTGTTGGTGTAGCTCAGCGTGTCCTTGAAGTCGCGGGCCAGGTTGGTGAGGCCGTACTCGGCTGGAAACGACGTGTTCCAACCAAACTCGCGCTTCTGCGTCGCGTTGAGCTTGGTCCGGAGCTGTTTGGGCTTGAGGCTCTTGGCGTCGCGCAGCGACTCCTTGGTCGGTGATCCGTGCCAGCCCATTTCCTCGCGCGTAAGTGCTACAAAACCAGTGAGCGAGCATTTAGGATGGAGGCGACTGTCAACCGTGGAATGGGTGGTTCATCACGGGCCGCGCGGGAATGGCCTTGTGCAGTGACTCATGGCTGCTCGCGGCCCGCGCCTTGGGCCGGTACGGGTAGTGCAGCGCCGATGCCATGCACCGAAATTTAGTACGCAACCGTTCGCGCTTCGCCCACGCGGATTGGCTGCGTCGAAATCCGTGCCCGTTTCGGTCTCGTTTCGGACATGTCCTGTTTTAAAAACGGCGCGTCCAACCAAAGGTCGTCTAAGGAATCCTTGGACCTGCTCGTTGGTAGAGCATGTACCAATTCAAGTGCGCCGCTAGCAGTGGTGGAATGCACTCCACATGCAGGCAACTCCACCGAGCGGACTTGCCGTTCTGGTACTGGCGAGACGAGCATAGAGAGTTGCGCGCAATGGATCATGTCTCTGGACTTTGGCCCACGGACAATCTATTCCTTGAGATAGTACTAAGGTACGGGTAGGTAGGTAGTGAAGGCGTCGGGCACGCATCGCTTCGCAGCTAACTCTCCAACACCAGGAGTCCAAAAATCGGGCAAATGTAATGCTGAGCTGACACCGTGGTCCTAATTAGGGGAAAGGGTGCGATCATGGACCGGCTTGTACCGGAAAGCCTTCGGTTGATAGCGACGTATGTAGCCGACGCGAGTGAGCTCGTCGCGTTCTTGCGTCTGCTGCCGACTGCTGCGCTCGGACCGTCGTTCTTGGCCCTTGTGGCGACCCGGCGCGTGCACCGCCGGTGGCCACGCCTCTTTATTGACGCCGACGTCGCTAGAGACGTCGACATCATGGCCCTCCAATGGCTCGTCGCCGCCGTGCATGTTTTGTCGCTGAAAACACTCCATGAGCTCACTGTTGGCGCACTGCTACGGCCACACATGCTGATTCATCTGGTGCCGCCGATGCACCCGTACAAGCTGCAGCACCCCGTGTTGCTCCGGATGCGATCGCGGCTCTGCAGTCTTGACCTCGCGATCCCGACGATGGAGATGCCGGCGCCACGTATCCAAGCGCTTATCGCGTTTCTGGCGGCGTGTCCTCACTTGCACCGATTGCAACTGGCGTGGAGCGTGCAGTTGCAGCCTTCGTTACTTCACGCCCTCGTGAACAATGAAGTCATTGGCCTCGGCTTGACCGAGCTCACGCTGCAAAGCGACGTCGCCTACGAGCTCCCAGACGCATTGGCAAACGCTTTGGCTGTGTGGATCGAACAGAGACGGACATTGACGTCACTGACGCTGGCGGGCCTAGCCATGACAGACGCCACCAGCGACGTCTTCTTGGTGACGCTCCTCGCACTACCCCAATTGACGGTGATGTCTCTACAGGGCTCGGCGGCGTTGGCCGCGCAGTTCTGGCGCCCACTGCGACTTCCATCGCAGCTTCGATCGCTCGACATTTCAGACTGGGACGGTCGCGCGTCAACCGACGTGATCACTGCGCTGCGCACCGTGCCGCACCTTCGAGAGTTTGCCTTACGCGGCCACGCCACCGTCGAGCTTCCGTTCGAGGTACCCCGCCGCTTGCACCGACTATGTTTGTGCGTCCGTCGGGTACCGTCGAGTCGGTCGTGGTGGGTGGCGCTGCCGTCGTCGTTGCACGAGCTCGAGCTGCAGCTGGGTCGAGGCAACGACGACGTCGCGCTGCTCGTAATGTGTCTTTTCCATCTCCACAAGCTGCAGCGATTGGCACTCAACGAGTCCAACATCACGTGTGACGGGGCTATCAAGCTCGCGTCGGCGCTGCCCCACTGCAAGGCGCTTCGCGTTCTCGGCTTGCGCCAGAATGGCATTGGACACGACGGCGCGGTCGCCGTTCTTTCCGCGCTCGCTTCTCTCTCGGGCGTCCGATACGTGGACTTGGCGTTCAACGCGATACCATCCACCAGCGCACTTCGATCGATGACATCTACTCCGGGGATTACGCTCGACCTCGATGGCAATACCGTGTAAAATGACACGCTATCTGCACGTAGACGCTAGCGTTTCTCTTTTATAAATGATGACCACGCAGGCAAGCTTCTTGGTCCAACCTACTTATTGAGCGTCTAGTATGGCGACATATATGCTGCGGAGTGACAACTCGTTGCCGCCGTTGGCGGTCGCCGAGAACGAGTGCGCTTTTCCGAGTTGGTATCGTAATGTGTTTCGTGAGCTTCTTCGTGTCCTGCTGCAGCGCAATCTCGGGCGCCTTCATCGACTTCGCCGGTGCCTTGGCTGACTGCGCCGTCTTGAGAAGCTCTGTGATTTCGGCCTGGGTCACGTCTTTCCAAGTCGGCGTCGGCCACGATCGGCGACAAGCGCGCCGCGAGCACGTTCAAGTTGGCGTCGGCCAGGTTGAATTTGTAGCGCGTGAGCATGAGTAGCAAGCTCACGCTGCTACGAGAGGCGCTGCATGCTTGCGCTTGCTCCATCTGTTCCAGGGTCAATCCTATGTTGCTGCATCGAACGCTATGTACGGGTATCTATCATTCGTTGATTTGGGTACAAGTAGTGAACCTAGTCCTTTCGCGGTGGTCATTTCATCTCGAAACAAACGTCCTGCAATGCATACGACCCATCAGCAAGCAAAGCCAGAGCGTCTCCGGCACTGCAGTAAGACACTGTTTACTGCAACACTGTATATATACACAACAGAATTCTATCCTTCAACTAATGGCCTTTCGTTCAGGCATCTATTCTTCGTCGTCGTCGTCATCATGGTGGTTGGACAGAAACGCCTTGTAGCAGCCCGCACCCAAGGTCGCGCCGACCATGGGCGCCACCATCGGCACCCAAAAGTAGTGGTTCGCGCCCGTAAAGACATCGGAGCCATACCCGACGAGGTACGTAAAGACGCGCGGCGCAAAGTCGCGGGCCGGGTTCAACGCATACC